ATATATATATATATATATATATATATATATATATATATATATATATATAACAGCAGTCAGTTTTTATCCTTTTATTATTTCGTTGTCGACGCATTGACCAAACGTAATAGTCCATGGAGTAGAACAGCCGACTGCGGATCGTCAATTGACCTCGCGGAAAATTTTTATTTCTCAAACGTGAATATCAACAGTGATTGTGCACCAACAAAAGCCACAATAACAACAACAAATTATCATCATTATTTTTATTAAATATACTTCATTATTTTATTAATTTGTTCAATATCTTTATTCTGCACCTGAAATAGATCTATCACAATGAGTCCGTATCAAGCAAAAGATTCCAGAATAGCCGCACTATATCTAAATTACCATGTACTTGCCATGTACAGCAGATCAATCGACAAATAATGAAGTATCACCAGTTACCGGCTTCATATCTTTGCATAGATTTGTCGAAGAAATTCAGCTTTACTTGAGAAAATATTGGGACAGCTTGTGATAGCGCTATTTGTTGCTAAATTTGTGAAATCACCTATGTTATTATTATGCTGAAACTCTCTCTCCCTTTCTGTTTCTTTCAAATTCCAGATCATCATAATTTAAATAAACAAAACAATAGACCATCAACGTTTTCAAAATCAACCAAAATAGAAATATTTGCTAATGTCAAAAGCAAATATAACAATAGAACTCCAAATGCCAACTCAGCCACAATTCAGTTTTGAAAAGCAATAGAACGGATACAGTTAAAGCTTCAGTTAACAATTTTCACAACAATACTAATTAACAAACATCAACAACAATGTAATGCAACAATTTTCATAAGAAACCCAAATTCAACGATTTAACTCGAATTCCCAACCGTTAAAAGCGACAACAAAAATGTGTTAAAGATTAATTTGTAAATAAATGATTAAAATATTGCAAAATTGAAATCAAAAGTACAAAGCTAAGGACAGCGAAACAAAACGAATTATTCACAATTTATAATTTTGATGCCGATTAAAAATCCAATAAAAAAAGTACAACTTTGAGAAACATATGAAACTACGCAAAAAAAAGTTCTCGTTGAGTTTTATTTGAGAGGAAACTTCGCTCAAAAGGTCGCAAAACAACAGAAATTAATAGTAATAATAAGCAATTTCAAATTGAAACCAATATGAAGACACATTTATAAAAAATAGATAAACAGCAAGGAAATTTAAAAACAATTAAAGAAACAATTTAAATAAGTCCTAAAACTTTATAAGAGACAATAAAAATATAAAATATTTAAACCAAATAAAATACTAATTTACTTGAAATCAAATTATAAAATATATAAAAAATAACATAGAATAAATAAAACAATACCAAAAGATCAATTAAATAAAAATTAAAAGGATTTTTAAATATATCACTTACCCCTTTGTTTTTAACGTTTTTTTGTACTCGGTTTGAAAAGAAGAAAACGCAAGAAGAATCTCCAGGCAATTATTCTTCCGATCAACAAGAAATTAAGAAAGTTGAAAGAAGAACTAAATCAGGTTATACTTAACAATTAGCATAAGTATCAAATATTAATTAATTAACTGGCAATTAACGGTAGCTAAGCTTAGAGACTTTTACTACGACTATCGAGCGCAGTCGAACGATTAGCATCAAAATAATTCCATTCTATGCAAATCGAAAATACACTGACACCGGCACAGACAGTTTTAAATACCACTTACCGTATAGCTAGCATCTATAGATATAGCATAAACTCACACACCCGGACACACAAACACACACAGACTATATAGACTAGATATAATATAATAATATAGTAATAATAATAATAATAATAATAATAATAATAATAACAATAATAATAATAATAAT